TATTTTAATTAATAGCTCTGATTAAAAACATAGATTAAACTTTGATGGTGGCTTATTTTCAATAAGAAAATAATCCTTTTATTCTTTCTTTAAATCATATAAAATTGTAAACACATTAATTAAACCTGTTTTTACTGTAGCTGCTTGCCTGATGCCACTGCTTACCAACTCCTATTTTTATTTTTGTTATGATCAAGGTGGAATGAGCTTGCTTTTGTAAATCTGGATTATTAAACTTGACAATGTAACATTTATTTTTTAAATGAAYCTTGCTGAAGAATTATGATCCTTGAGGTTCTATGATACTTTAGCTGAAAACGAGCAAGCAGTTTTTGATACTTTTAAYGCATAAAGTAAAATTATATATTTTCTAATCAAGCAACATTTATCATWTATTCCCTCAATTTGAATTCATCTGTAAAAATCTGCCTCATCCTAAAAGAATAGACAATCAATAAAACACAGTTTACATGGTCAGTGAAATCTCTATTTAGCAGCTAGTGTCTCTGTCGTCGTCACCTTGCTGAGCTCCTGCAGCTCCCAGCTGAGCCTGAATGCGGTGAGGAAGGGGTCCTCGCTGGAGAGCGCAATTAGCGAGGGGCTCGACAGCGCTTTGTAGATGTTGAGGCGAGAGCGCGAGTGCCGCAAGCTGTCCACGTCTGAGCTGGACACACACTCGACACAGTTGCAGCGCACCTGCAACATCAAACAAAGCATGGGCACATTTTAATGAGGCCTCCCTGTGTTCAGACGGGGGATCTGGGTCCGGGCTCATCCTGAATTTATTATATCAGCTGAGTACATCTGCATATAATACTTAAACATTTCATAATACATAATGTATCATGACTTTTTAATTTATGTGCATTTAAACATAATAAACCACATATATGTTTATCATTGGATGCAAAGAAAGTACATCATTACTCTGAGATAATGTGCTTTGCTCACCTCATGCGGCTGTGGCATAGACACACCTTTCTGCACCAGGAGCTTGATAATTTCATAGTTGTTGGTGTGTGCAGCGAGAATGATGGGAGTGATGTCAGGGGTGAAGTCAGAAAACTGCTTGTCCAATAAAATAGGGGGGACCTTTTAGGAGAGTCAAGAAAAAAAGAAAAACCTTCACTCCCACACATATATTACTGTAACTGATGTAACCGAGGTAAGACATTCTGTCCCTGGCTTGTGATGTCAGTTTATACTCCTCATAAGCTTTTTTATTTTTATTTTCCCCACATTTGGCAGTTCTTGGCTTGGTTGAACACCAGCAAACTGACTGATCCACTACTGAAGATAAAACGTTCTTACTAGGGCTGTCAAATGATTAATGTTTTTAATCTGATTAATCCCAAAGTAGCTGTGAATTAATCATGATTAATCTTAAATTTAATATACATTTCTATTGCATATTGATAAAATAAATTACTTGAGTTATAATTAGTTTTTAATGTTTTTATTTAGAAAACAAAATTGATGCTTAGACATGATTTTTTGACAATAAAACAGGACCTAGAAATGCTCCAAACATATTTGAGTCAGTTAAATTTTGTGCAGAATAATGAGGTTAAATCAAGAACTCAAGGATTTTCATTCCCAATGAGCACTACATGAGGAATGAAAGATAGATACTGAGGTCACAGTTGTCAGCAAAACATAAATAAATAAAATAAAATAAGCCATGAGAAGACAAATAATATGAACATAATGTGTTACAAATGGAGTTTTTTATATATTTTATTTATTTAACCTTTATTTAACCAGGTAAACTGTTTGAGAACCACTTCTCATTTACAAATATGACCTGGCATGCACTGAGTGCATTACAATATAAAAACCTACATATTCAGCCAAAGTGAAGTGATTGTAAATTTTAATTGTGATTTATCACGATTAAAACTTTTAATATGCCCATGCAGCACTAAAATTAATCAGAGTTAACTCGATTAATTTCACAGCCCTAGTTCTTACACATAAAACACACGGACAAAGCAAAATTTTAAAAAAAGGTTTGCAGATTTCACACAATTTAGAGAGAAATCAGATAATTAAATATGCAAATAACCAAGTACGCCTTAGTTGTTTAATTGTTTCCTTATCATTCAGAGGGAATATGTGGTTGTGCAGCAGAGGAGTGAGTTGGCTTCTTTTAATTGAGGGTCTGTTATCTGATTCACTGGTGAAAGCTAGAAATATAAAAATGGTAAGACATCAGCTGGAGGCAGACTCATGACAGGTGGCAAGAAGAGGACGTTGTAAGGAGGCATTACCAAGATGAATTTCGGGGAGAGAGCAGCCYAAAAGATCTCAATTCTTCTCTGCCACCTATCTAAGCACTATATGAGAGCTGAAAAAACTGAGTGACATTTGTAACAGAACAAATTAAAAATTTTCAACACAACTTCATTGCCCGTCCAGTGGTAATAAAATGATCTAGAATAAGCTGGGAAGGTGAAATGCTGTCAATGTGGATAAGTAGGCAGGGAATTCCAGCAGGAATCAGGTTATGAATCTAAATAAAATCAAACTGCTTCAACTGAAATAAGCTGCGACCAAGAACTAACTATAAGCTCTCACAAAAGGCAAATAAAACATTTGTAATGACAAAACAAGGAACAGGTGTGCTTAGTAATCAGGACCAGGCAGTGGAGAAACAGAAAAAATAAAAATAAAAAGGTAGAAGGCGTGAATAAAATTAAAATTAATCTAAACTAAACTGTCAAAGAACAAAAATTCATGGGCATCTATAAATTGAGGTTAATAATTAAAAAAAAATAAAACAGCTGTTTTAATTTAGCATTTTAAACAGTTTCAAATTTTGTTAAATAAATAATAGAGGTGGGACGAATGGCTCTTAGAGGGGATCTGGATCTTAGAATGATTTGATTTTGAACAAGTTACATCATCACGCAGAGAGATACATGATGTCTTTGAGTGTGTTTTGTGAAGTGGAAACCTCCCCTCCCTCCTTCCACCTGAGCTGATGTGCTCCACGAAGATCGATTGTCTCTGGGGTTAAGAAGGAAAAAATAAAGGTACTAAAAGGAGTAAAAAAAAACACTCAAACTATTTGTATCGTTTGCAAATGTCTAACAAATAAATCCAGCTTCTCAAAGATTTTCGGCCTTAATTTTTGCCTATGGCTAAAAATGAGGGTGGACCAGAAATGTTTTTGCCAAAGCGTRTATGAGTGTGTRTACTTATATTGTCAGCAAAATATATCACAAATCACTCAAATACATTTTTACAAACTGTCGGAAATTGATATGTTCTTGGGAGATATTTTGGGAATTATTRTTCAACTGCTTTAGTCCAAATAAATCTTCTAAATGCATAAAATAGTTCAAACTAGATCACAGGTGTATGCTGGGAGTTTTCAAATCAAATGGTTTCACTTGAATGAAGTCTTTTATAAGAAGAGCCAGAATTAGAAGATGTTCTATGTCACTCCGCTTCACCGAGAGAGCTAAATGTGGAGTATTGTTCTCTTGGGGAATGATTCATTCTCTCTGAAATGTTTCATCATACTGATTGCACCCAAAAGTCATTTAATAATGTAGACACTAATTACTGGTATAGCTTACCCCAGCAGCGGTCCCTCCATTAAACACAGAGTYATCCTGAGATTTGTCACATTTGGCAGAGATGGGTGATCAAAAAAACAAAAAAAAATCTGCAGCCAATGCTCTGTTTTCCACGTGGGAGGAGACAAAACTTCAAATAATCTACATCAAAACTGTCTTGGCATGTGCCGAAATAACCAGAATAACTGGTGTGAAGGTCTGATAAAAGCAGTGGGGCGGTGGGGGGGACGATGAAATTACAGCCTACTTTTATCTGATATGCATATTTGTTGTTTATACGAGGCTTCCACCATCCACTCATTGATTAAACATGCAACGATAGCATCTGCAAAAGCTCAGTGTGTGTTACTTTTGTTTTCACAGTGCTCTATTTTGAGCCTCCCCTGCCGGTTTTATCCCCTTGTCATCCGGCAACATCACAAATATTTAGATGAAGCTGACAGAAAATGGGACACGGAGCAGTTCTGATTTTGCATTACACTGCGGAAATCAGCTCGAGTCCAAAAAAGGATGACTGTGCTTACTTTACATCTTCCTCTTTTCTATGTAGGAAGGATATCCTTACGTAACTATTTCTATATAAAAAAATGATTTAAAAACACCCACAAGATTCTTTTTGACTGTGAAACACTAGGAGTTCCAGTGTGCCTCCAACAGATGCTTATCTATACTCACAGGATGATACATGGAGCTGTTTAAAATGCTGATAATCCAATGCAGTCCTCCACATGTGTTTGTGAGAGCATTCAAAACACATCATTCAAGGTACATAAAATAAGATAAATATCAGTAATTTCTGCAAAGCATAAAACAAATATCCTTACGAATAGGTTTGGGTAAAGATGCACTTTCCCTCACAGCATTTTAATCTGATCAATGGACCTCTCATGGGGAGATTTGTGCCACAGTGATCTATTTTCACAGCTTACTCATGTGACACCAAGAAATGCTATCTTACAAAAGCATTAAGTTAAAGAGGTAATGTGTCAACTGATTGATGTTACAGCTGAGAGCTTCAGATGGGGCTTCTAAGACTTGGCTTCTTTTACATCTGTTTCTATACCAACACYGAGCTTCTGTTTCTTTCTTAAAGTAGCTTTCTCATTTGTTCTCTGTTTTCACATTTGTGTGAATGCTATCCATTTTTTCTTCCGTAGATCTTTTGGYATGTATCTTGTTCCACAWTTTTTGTGCTATTTTAACAATTTATGCATCAAAAGGTTCAGCTGCTTCAGGACATTCCAGCTATGATTTTTGTTATTTTAGCCATTTTAGATATTTGTTCCCATAGAAAATGAATAAATCTGTTTCAGCATCACCTTCCATAATGTTTATAAATATTTACTGTACTCTTCACCTTTATTCTGGTGCTATTTTTAACTTATTTATGTTAATTTTAGCTCCCTTCAGCAATTTTCAGGATAGTTTTAGCTTTTTCCGCCTTTTCGGTGGCTCTTTTCAGTTCTTTTGCTATAAACKTCTTGGTATTTTAGGTTTTATTCTTTTTCAGCTGATTTCTGCTCATTTCAGCTTTTTTCTGCAACCTAAGTTCATACAGCTATTTTTAGCTAATTTCAGATTTTTTTTAAGCTAAAGCCATCTTTATGTTATAATTTCCGCTTCTTACAGCTTAATTCAGCAAACATGTTCTTTGTTCTTTGTTTTTTTTTGGCTACGTTTTAGATACTTTCCTGCTAATTTCAGCTTTTTTGGCTATTTTTACAGCAAATTGCACAATCTTTCAGCATTAAGCATTCACCCTCAAAATGATAATTCATGTAGCTGAGGACATGACAAAAGGAGAAGTAATATCTCCTCAGTGCTCATAGAAGCCATGTTTGCTCTTTTTTTTAAAGGTGCATCACTTCTGCTAAGATGCAAATGAGCTAAAAAAATGAAACACATGGCTGTGTGTCACATTGTTTCTCTTCATTTAGTACATTTGTGTCAGGGTAAAGATAAAAGAAAAGAACTTAAAGTATTTTTTTTGCGTCTAGTATTCTGATTATAGCAATTAAGCTCCAAACTGGCAGCTCTATTTCGCTACAAGAAGTGRCTTATTTATGACCGTCAGAATTCAAAAAGAGCTTTGAGTTTTGCCATGATTAAAAAAAATGGGTACATTATCTTTTGAACAAATTATTCATCTATTTTTTCTCTCCTCTGGCTGAGCGTACTCATTATGTTCCAATATGTAAGACTGTTTCCAAAAGGGAGAAACACAGTTATGAGGACAGCTTTTGTGAGGTGTCAGCTTTAGTTGTTGCCAACAATACTAGGTCAGTTATTTCGGTTAGTCAGTACAAAAAGCTCTAGGCATACTTCTTGTAAGATATTTAATGAGTACCAAAATTTTACTAGCTGACACAGTACTTTTATCACTTATTGGACCCAAAGGACCTTCAGTGTTTTGGGAAATGTGGTTTTGTAGAAGTGGATGCTGCGCAGCTTGCTTTGAGTTAAAAGATAGCTCAAATCCTTTGAAGCAATGTCTTGAGGAAAAAGTTATAAACAATTRAGATCTTATTTGTTATAGATAGCCCATTACTTCACTTTAGAGAAATTGTTTATTTATCAAACTAAGCTAACAACTAAACCAAGAAGGGCAGAAGAAAAAGTGGATTACCATTTTCTTAAACTAATTCCAACACTATTTTGTAAACATTTGCACAGTATTACATTTATACCACCAAAAATATAATAATCCTGCCAGATTAACCAGTGCTACTACTTGCTGCAGCCGCCACTATTTGCACTTGGAAAACAATCCTTGGAATTTTACCTGTATGAAGTTAAATTACTGCTGATATAAAAGCCTATAAGTGCTTTGATGAACCACTATGAAATGTTTAAGACTGGAATCATTTTAACGTTGAAATACATCAGAAATCAGATTTTCTAACAGGTTCGACGGCAGCTGGACTGGTCACTGGACTTTGCTCATAATAGCACTTTTGCATCAAATCTATATCCATTTCTCTCATTTTCCTGATCACCTGCATGCCCCCACTTGGCTTCTTGTGATTGAGCAGCAGCTCCACGGCTCCCACCACCTCCTTGCGGATGGCGTGCARCAGGGCATCGCCGACGTAGACGCTGAAGCTCAGCAGGAGCTCAATGATCTCCAGGTTCTCGTTCTCAATGGCGATGAGCAGAGCCGTGCGGCCGAGGGGGTCGATGCAGTTGATGTTGATCTTGAAGTAGATTTCTGCCTCCTGAAAGAAGAAAACGATCAGGGTCAGCTTTAGGGGTTGCTCTCAGTGACTCAGAGGTGACGCAGATAGAGGGAAGCAATACATACAGTTTGGTACAAACCAAGTACGAACTGGGTATTTACCTGCCACATACCTCACTTATTTTCTAGGTATTCATTTTTATTTGTTGTATTTTGTGATTCTCTTCCCTGTGTTTTCAGTTTTGCCTGTCTGTCTTTGCTCTGGCCCCGCCCATGCTCACCTGATCCTCCTGTCCCTTCCCAGGTGTTTCCCATTGTCTGCTCGTTAGTGTCCCTTTATATCCTGTGTCTTTTCTTTTGTTCCCTGTCGGTGTGTTTAGCTTTTAAAGCCATTCATGTTTTGGTCCTGCCATCATTTTTTGTAAGTACTTTTGCTGCCACGACAGCCTTTTGTTTAGTTTTGTTTATTAAAAATCTCAGTTTTTTTGAGTTTTCAGGTTTTTCTAATATAAACCTGCTTCGTACGAGGTAAGTACCTGATGCATTCCTGGTACAGTGAATCCCTGATTTTCTGGGGGGYTTACGTTCTTAGAGTACCCACAAATCATGAAAAAAACACAAATATTGAATGCTGTCCAGAAAAGATGTATACATCAGGTTTGGGTAGCATCTTAAGAGAGCTAAACAATTAGAAATTCTGGTAAATAAATAAAAACAGGACATGTGTATTTTACTATATTTACACTAATATTTACAGAATTAGTAAATTATATTCTTTATAAATTAGTTTGAAAACTCACAAAAAAAGCTTTTGTGATATCACAAAGGTTTACGCAATATAACATGGATTACTGCAAACTACGGGTAGTTGGATTCCATCAAGAAAATGGCGAAARACTTAGTCTGCAAACTGTGAAATGCAACTTTGTGGGACTTCACTGTWTATMATCACCTGATCAAATAAAATCACATTTTCTTATACAAAGATGTGACAAGAAGTCTGTASCACACGTCATTAAACAAATTAAGATAAAACATACAATTATTTTACAAGAATACACATTAAGTAAGTATCCAGTGTAAAACAAGTATATTAATTTTGTACAGGGTGAGCACCAGTTAAGTACATATCACGGGGCGCCCAAACATTTTCCCTGAGAGGGCCAAAATTTAAATCAATCTGAGGGCCACGGGCCATATGCAATAATATAAGAAATGCAAATACTTAAGTAAAGTTGTTTTTTTTTATGATTAAGCCAGCAGCCAATGTATTTGCCTACATTCTTTTTTTTGTTTGTTTGTTTGTTTTGCTTTTTTTTCAACTCATGGACATGGAGAAAATTCAAAGGCTCATGGGACTTTTCATAATTTAAAATTTGAGTATATGGGGTCCTATAAGGTGTGCATATCTATACAGTATAGGGCTTAAAACTAATATAAATGTATCTTGTAGTTACTTGTATTTTATGTTTAATCTTAACATAATTACAATCTAGTAACCAGGACAACTGCTGGTGGGCCAAATCAAATGGCTCGGGGGGCCAACTTTAGCCTGCGGGCCCCACTTTGGGCACCTCTGACATATCAGGTAAGTACTAGGTACTGGTACACACCTGGCTATTATATATTGATGCTAGACAAAGTGTTCACAACCTTTGGCTCTGACTGCAAATAAATTAGTCTAATGCAGTATACTGTGTATAGTTATATATATTTTTTGTTGTTTGTTTTTGTACCACACAAAGAAATAGGCAGTGTTCTTCTTTTTTTTTTAAATATCCATCAACATTTTTTTCAGAAAAGCAAGAAAAATGTGAAGACAGCTGTTTGAAGCAGCAGGAAGATTTTCATTCAACAACACTTAAAATTGACCTTTTTAGTTTGCTCTTTGGATTGTGTCGTTACTGCAAACCAATGACTCATTTTCTTCTAAGGACAGTGAGATAATATAAAAGATATACAGTTCTGACACCTGTTAATGCGGTACGTACTGAATGTGTTTTCACAAATGAGCAGCTGTTTCTTACAGTTAAAGATGTGATCTGTAATTTTCCACTCTTTCCTGATCAAATTTAAAGCCATCTGGTCCTTCATAAGTCAGACACTCAAGTGACTTCATTCATTTACCCATTTGCCAGTCACTGAACGCGCACACACACACCTCCAGAGCTTTTTTGACGCTAGCATAGTCCCCCTTCTCCACGGCTCCCAGGTAGGCTTTCTCCAAAAGCGATAGCTCCGACTCAGCCCGCACAATTCTCAACGGGATGCGGTCCCGGTATGATGAGCTGTCAGTCCGCCTGTAGTACAGCTGTGACATCTCACCGGGCTTCAGCGAACTCAGCTACAGCTACCGCCAGGCTGGGGGAGTTCACACTAGAAGCAACACAGACAAAGGTGTGAGAAAGAAAAAAAAGAACGAAGCCGTTGATGCTGATGAAAATCAAGCGAGAAAGTTTTACAGCAAAGATAAAGAGGTTCTGAAGAATGACAGCTTGTTTTGTTTGTTTTCTGTAGCTATGTATGAATCATAGTTTTTTCCCCCTCAAGTTAAGGTAAATTAAAGAAAAGAGATGCAGATACGTGAGTTAGTCATTTATGTTTTTTATTAAATCTTTCAATATTACCTGCCTGTAAATGATGTTATTTGATGCTGAAAATAGAATTTGGCATTTTTAATCAAAGTGACATCAATGAGGCAGCCAGTTTTATTATAAACAGCCTGAGTTCAAATAAACACAGCCTGTTGCAAAACTCAAAACTACTATTTTGTATTTTAAATGAAATTGGATGTTTTAACTGCAKCTATTTAAATCATAATTCAGTTTAAGTGAGCAAGATAGCGAATGTTGTTTTTAACGTGCTCTCCAAAAAAGTATTTACTGAAGAAAACAGTAAATTTATGGTAACTGATTATACTGAACATGAATACAAAACACAGTATTTGTTAAATGCTTCTGTGACAACCTTTTCCTGGGAAATCTCTTTACTACATCTCTGTCTAAACAGATGAAAGTATTAAACTTTATACTTAAACTAGCTCTAAATTCACAGTCAGTGAAGCGCAGGCAYTGAGATGACAAAAGAACAAAAGCCAGAGATGCTGCGTCATAAAAAAGAYGAGTATAAAACTCCATAAAGAAGGCGTTCTTACAGCCCTGAAGGTCTCAGGACGACTCATTACTTTAAATTAATGAGCATTCCAATTAGTTTATTGGGGGAAAAAAGAAAACTTGCAGTTCCTCCTATAAATAATGCAAATATATGTAACATAAAGCTTTGGTCCTAAAATGGCATGTCTGAAAGAACTGTTCCACATTTTTCTGCTTACAGTCTCACTGAAAGTTTCATGAGAAGTTTGAAGCTGAATGTTTTTTTTTTTAACTTTTAAGTTAAACCGTGGTAACCTCAAGATGCTTTAAGATCATGAATGATATACCAAGCATCCTGAAATAAATCAAATGGATACATATTTAAAAAAATAATTTTAAATGACATGAGATGTAGCTA